CTCCCACGCGCCCAGTGCGTCTGTGCCAGATCCTTCGATCCTGAGCTGCATACATCGAATTGGTATTTACTGCCTTTGCTGACATGTGTTATTCGATACATACTGATTTAGGATATTTCTGGTTCCAAAAGGATACTTAATTATAACACATCCTGTAGGGAAAAAGTTGACATTTCCAGTCGCATTTTCTCACTGTTGTCACTAGTTTTTCGATATTTGTTATGGCTTTTTTTGGTTTGAAATCTCCAGAGATTCTAATGCAATAATCCTGTAAAATAATTTACAACCAACGACCTTTTATGTAAACGAATATTTGAGACCGTGTGTGTATGTGTCTATGTACATCTACGTTTGTATTTTTAATTGTGTATGTATGTGTGCCTGTAGGTGCGTATTTATGCATTTGTATGTGTGGTTTTAACGATTATTTTACGCCTGTGCGTGATCAGTAAACCTCACTGTGATATTATTTTCATATTTATTTTAGATGAATTAACTGAGTTGTAAATTACTTTTTCTGCACATCAAAAATCCCTCTCTGGCACAACTTTTCGGATTTTACAAAATAACAACATTGAAAATCTTTGGATTAGTTGCTGATTGATGTGCTTATTTTGGAGACCGGTACACTCAGAATTGTTTATTAAAAAGGTCCCAGTGAGTAGTAATGAAATAGATTTCGATAGTCTTTAGCAGATAACTAACGACAGTCACATGTAGTGTCATTCCAGGCAAATAATTTATGTGAATTTGTTTTTTTTTTGGTGAAACATGCTTGGTCAAATTTGCACGTTTTATTTTGCCACTCTTCAAAAAATAAATCATTTCCTATGCTGTTTTTAATGGATTTTGAGGTATCATTCCTCTGTATTCCTTAATTTTGGATATCAAGCAAGCAAGTAGGTCACTAATGCTTTGTACATGATTTAGTTCTTATTGCGTACAACCCTAATTTGGTGCTGCAAGAGCACAACGCCCAAAGTAAAGAAGTAGGCCCAAAGGGTATCAAAAACGAATTTGATGTGCCCCTCCCTTTCCCGCCCTCTCCTCTCGCGCAAAATTACAGATTAGACGGTACTGATCTGAATGAAGATAGACGGGAAAGGACTACA